TCAAAAACCCAAAATTAATCCAACCACACAGCACGGTTTAAAAGAATTCATTTCAAACGTTCCTTTTGCAATGCACCTCTATTTTTGTGCCTGCTTTAGAACTGGCACAGACACAAACATCCTGCTCTCAGAACAGAAATCACCAAGCTGGGCATTTTCACACACAAATGCTGAATGGCAGCAGAGGGTGGGACGAGCCCCCAGACACAACCCTCAGCATGTGCAACCACAGCTGGCAACTGGCACTTCCAACTTTCTGTCCAATGCAAAACAACAAACTCATTTCAACCCCTGTGAAATTAGGTGGTGATTGTAACACTCTTTAAACCTCCCAAATCTGAAATAATAAATTAGGTTTATACTACTTAATTTTACAGGGACTTACTACCTTTTGCCCCACACTAATTTGTTGCCATAATTACATTAAATTGAAGCTGATTTTTTTTTTTTTTTCTAGCCTCGATCTAGCTGGAAGCTTGTTGTTTCTATTCCTGATCCAAAGAAGAATCTGTTGTTGCCCTAAAGCCTGTCTGGTCTCTGAATCTACTGGATACTCTAATTTCACTATAAACCTTATTATCCTATAGCCTTAGATCCTCACTGCTACAGCAGTGATAGTAAATTACACAGAACTAATTACAAGGGTGAAATAAGCACCTGAGCTGTGCCAGGGAGAGCTGCAGATGGGGTGTTTGGAGAGGAAAACAACCTTTGGGCACAAGAGCAGAGACTGATTTTGCCTTCCTGATTCCAGAGCCTGTGGGCAGTCACTGGTCAGTGGCCAAAGATGTGTTTCATTACTGGCCAAAAGTGGTCAGTGGCCAAAGACCAGACAAGAGGGAGGGGGGGAATTGTTTGGGTCTTGTATAATTAGCTTTGCCTTTTTACTGAGACCCATTTTAATGCATTACTGCACTACTGAACTAAATACCTGCATTAGAAAGTGAGTCGTGGTGGGAGCAATCGAGACAGCACTGCCTGGTTTAGAGGTGCGTGCTGTGAGCTGGACTCTGGCCAGGCCTTTCCAAATTTAAGCTGCAGGAACAGCCCAAGGCGTTGCCTGAGCAGCCTGTGCCACTTCTGAGGGCAGGCTGAGGGAAGAGTCCACAGTGGTTCCTGCTCCAACCCCAGCCTGCTCCTGGCCACCACGACCAAGTGGCCCAGTGGCACAAACCTCCCCATCTCTGTGCTGCCCAAGGCCAAACACAAAGGCAGCATCCTCACAGCACCCATCCAAGGGTCCCACTCACCCCTGACACATTTTTGGCACTGCACCACCACGTTTTTGGCACTAGCAAAGATGCTTTTTAGGTTATTTAATCCTGTGCACCTGCTGGCTTCCACATTCCCTAGCAGTTAACAATTTCCTCTTTAGGAGAAGCTGTTGAATTGCTAGCAGTGGGTGAAGTTTGTGTGTCTGTTCAGGGCAGCACTGCTCTCAATAAATGTGTGTGTGCAGCACTCTCCCTGCTGCAGCAGGGCTTGCTCTCCCTCCAGCTCTTTTTGTGCAGCTGGGCTGGAGGGCAGTGCTGCTTTTTTTTTTTTTTTTTTTGCATTTTCTATTTCCATAGTTCTCCTTTTTCCCAGTTTGCTCTGAGCCATCCCACGGGCTCTCCTTCGTCCTGTGCATCCTCTGTGGAGCAGCAGCCGTGCTCCATCTGCCTCCTGTGCCACCAGCACCACCACAGCCCAGCCTGGCACTGGGATGGATGGGGAAGCCAACACCTGTGCAGCTGGGTCCTTACATGCCAAGATTCATTACAGCACGTTAATTATTCTTCTGGGTCAGCTGCAAAAAACGGCTCCCAGAGCGGGGCCACTTTTTGGCATTTTACAAAAGTCAAAAGCGCTGAACAAGGCTGTTGTATTTAGCTTGGAGCTGTCACAACAGGCACAAAATCCTGTCCCAGCCTCTTGTTAAATGATCCTTGTTCTAAGGGGAAAAAAGAAGCTTAATGAATGCATCCATAGGAGCCATTAAGAGCAAAATAAAGGCAGAGATAAAGGCAGATAGAGACAAAGAATGGACGATCCTCAGACATGTTTTCTGCCAAAGTCATTCTTTACATAATAGATGCAGTTTCTTTCTTTCCCTAGATGGGAAGATGGGCTTGACACCATCTCATCAACAGCAGCTGTAATAACAGCTCCTTGCTATTAATATGCAAATTGAAATGCACACACTGATTAAAAACGTGTTAGACAAAGGCTTTTGTCAGAGACCTGCGAGTGGGTGACAGGGTTCAATTAGGGAGCAGTGGCCCACTACAGGATTTCTCCTGCAGTCTTCACCCTTGAGCCCAGTGCAGGAACTTTCAGCAGCAGCACACCGCAGGGTTAATGGACATTTTCTCTCTCTGGAGCTCTCATTCAACCCCCAAAGTGGGTCCTGCCTGTCTCCAGCCCCTCTCCAGCCCTGGGGACTCCCCACAGCCTCTTGCTGTGGGAGCAGGCTGGCAGCTGCTCAGGTCCATGACCTCAGGCAGGTGCAGCCCAGAGGAAGAATCAGACTTCCACACACTTAATTTGAAGATTATGGAAGGTGGTTTTAAAGGTCAGGACTTGCTAATTAAGTTGATGCAATAGGAACTTAAGAAAGGAAGCACCACTTACGTAGCAGGAGCATTCTTGTCCCATGATTAATCTCTGTATGAAGCTGCTGTCTCAGGGCTGCCTCAGGTTACACCCTGTTGCCATAGAGCTCCATTGCCTCCACATAAGGAGCCAGATAAAACCACATTATTATTTGTGTTGAGCTGTGTCTGAGCATGAAACACCCCTGGAAGTCAGTGTCCTGCCCCAGAAACACAAGCTGACTCACCCACACCAGACTCTGGAGAGCTGCCTCAGTATGGCTACAGTAATGAAACACTTCTAAAACATTGCAGCTCAGAGCTGGCAGCCACATCTGCAGCTGCCTCCCAGTGCCACCTGTATTCCAGTTAGCACTGACTGTAAAGTGAGTCTGGGGAGAGACCCAACCAGACTGAGGATAAATGATTGAGATTTGCTTTCTTTACAGACTATCTTGCACAGAATTTTAAACCAGTAAAACATTTGGCCAGAACAGACAAAATCAAATTGTTAAGTGTAAATGTTCTGCATGAAAAATGCTGAGCGTGTTTATGTTTTCTTTTTCAGTGAAGAAAATATGCTCAAATGTTTTCACCCTTCAGTTTAAAGTAACCTAGGGGGACACAGTGGTTGCACTGAACCACTTTCAAAGCTCTCTAATACATCCTCTCACACATTTCACCCTGGGGCCATTGGTCCAGGCTTGACATCAGAGATCTGGCGTCACTTCTACAGGGATCACTGACTTACCATGAGGAGATTTGTCTTTTTATGTCTTGCTTTGAAAGCCTAATGAACTTAGGAAAAGTAAGAGATTAAAAGGATTTAGGGACCAAAGCCTGATTGACTGGACCTGGACAATACTGGCAACAAATGGAAATATTGTGCTGCTCTGTCACTCCAGGCTGGAGACAGGGGTGTGATGGGGCAGCTCACCTGCCTCCCACTCACCTGGGCCAGGTGCTGTGGGGTGGGAATCCCATCAGCAGTGCTGAGCCTCCTGATGTGCCACAAGAACCCCAGAGTGACACCAGCCCCAGGCTGGACACCCCAGGGAGAACAGCCAGCCTGGCACAGCCTGGCAGCAGAGGCTGGGTCCAACCCAGCTCACTGCAGAGCTCTCTCCACGCCTGCCTGGGGAAAGAAATTGTGTTTGTGCTGTAATTAATTTGCTGCAATTAGCTTGTAGTGATTACTAGAGCACACAGATTTTTGGGCTTGTCTCCTGACAAAAACGCCTCTGCAGCACCCTGGATGCTGCTTGGGGGAGGGCTCCTTTGGGGAAAGGAGGCTTGGAAAAGTCAGGCTTGAACCCACATGACTGATGTGCCCTATTTCTGTAAATCACTCTCTCTGTAAAGAGGCAGTTTAGCTTCAGGAACACTGGCAGCTCGTGTTATTACCCAAAACACAATAAATGAAACCACCCCACAGCCATGAAACCCAAGGAGATGTTTACTCATCTGTGAAAAACCCATTCTCCTCCACACATGAAAGGCATCGATGCAAGAGCACAAATTAATCACACAGAGCTTCTGCAGTGGCTGAGTGTCCCACAGAGGGAAGGAGGTGATGCTGCAGTGCACCCGAGCTGTCCCTCCACAGCCTGGAGCTCAGGGAGAGCCCAGGGGCTTGGGCACTGCCCAGGGCTCAGGTAATGCCCAGGGCTCAGGTACAGCTCAGGCACTGCCCAGGGGCTCAGGTACAAGCCCAGGGGCTCAGGTACAGCTCAGGTACAGCCCAGGGCTCAGATACAGCTCAGGTACAGCCCAGGGGCTCAGGTACAGCTCAGGTACAGCCCAGGGGCTCAGGCACTGCCCAGGGGCTCAGGCACAGCTCAGGTACAGCCCAGGGACTCAGGTACAAGCCCAGGGGCTCAGGTACAGCTCAGGCACTGCCCAGGGGCTCAGGTACAGCCCAGGGGCTCAGGCACTGCCCAGGATTGAGGCTCCTGGCCAGCAGAGCAGCCCAGGATGCAGAGCACTGAAGGGCTCTCCTCCCACTCAGCTCCTGCTCTGCTCAGGCAGGGGAACGAGCTGCTGCAGGCAGTGCAGGGCAGAGCCCGAGCTGGGTCAGTGCAGGGCTAAAAACGTGTCCCTGCAGGTGCACAGGGCACCAGCCTTACCTGGGATGGCCTGGCCAGCTCAGCCTGTGCCAAGGCTCTGGTGCCCCCGGGCTCCTGCAGCTCTCCGGTGGGCACGGCAGCGTCCGGCCTCGCAGCAAAGTCAGTAAAGCAAAGAGCTTCTGCTGAGCCTGCAGGGATCCTACCAGCAGGAAAGAGAATTCACACTTTCTTTTCAGTGTTCTTTACTCATGGAACCATTTGTTTCTTTAGAGACAAAGAGGGAAGGAAGAAACTGATCCGTTACACGATCCCCACCATTCACTGCTGCTGCTCTGTATGTGTTGACACAAACCATGCTGGAGAAGGTGAAGGAAGTGTGTTTATTTCTGATTGAAGACTGATTACATCACTATCATGGATAATGTAGTAGAATAATCTTATACTCTTGGGAGAAATCTAGGAATAAATATGAAAAAGTAAAATAGTTTGTTTCCACTGTCCCTGGAGATGGCTGATGAGTAAGTGCTGTATTTACAGGATAGTTATCATACTCTAGACTCTGTGCTGAATAAATATTGTCCTGAAAGGGTAAAAAAATCCATCGAAATATTTTAACTCACCACAAAATTAAAAAAAAAAAAAAATTCCATGTACTTGTCCAAAGCAAAGGTTAGTTACATGTTAATTATTGAATCCACATAGGATCACTGTCCAAGAAAGCCTCCTCTCCTGCTGACCCGCTCCCCTCCACAGAAGCAGCATCAGTGCTTGTCCTCTTCTCCACTGACGAGCCACTATTGGTTCTTCAGGCTGCAAGAGAGAAACGAAGCCCAAGTCACGCTCCATCCTGGTGTGTTTTATCAAAGAAAACCACCACAGCAAACTGGAAAAAGTCTCCTTTCTTTAGGCGTTAAATTTGAATTTAAGAGCCTGACAAATCCTGCCCAACTCGCCTCCCCCATGGCCCAGCACAGCTCAGCTGATGAGGAATTCCTCGTTGGAATTGGCATTGGCAAGCTCAGGTTTGTGCTTTGAGCAATTAACCCAGTGTTTGGGTTTTACATGAAAGTGATTAATCTGTGCACCCAACACCACAACACAGAGCTGTACGGGCTGTTCTGGGGCTTTCAAATTATGATCAAAACAGAAGATATCAGAGATATCTTCATTTTCACTTACATTGAAAGGGAAGGGAGACAAGTCAGATCTATAATGAGGGGAAGTATTACATTCTCTTTCTTCACAGGCAGTGTAATTATTCAGCTGCTCTCTGGAACTGAAACTATGACAAATTAAAATGCCTATCAATTCCATCTACCTTTTGTAACTATTCATCTTCTGGAGGTGTTACTGCTCTAAAGGCTCCTTTACCATAAGCCACTATATATTGCAAAAAAGCACATAGAAATGCTACTATTTCCAAGTGTTACTGTTACTGTAGCCACCAAGGCAAGAAACAAAATCATTTGGCTTGGGTGTGAAGCGCACAATACAACTAATTTACTCTAATTTCCAGAAATTTACAGGAAATATTCTGCCAGAGAACACCTTCATCCTGAGGGAGGATGTGCAGAAGGAGCCCAACCTGCTGCCACCAAGGCTGGAAGCATCCAGGAGAAGCAGAAACACCATTTGGCACTAAATCTGACCCGGGTGGAGCCGGGCCAGGCAGCCCCAGAGCTCCCCATGAAGCTGGCTGTGCCAAACACACAGACCCTGGGACTTGCTTCAGCCACAACAGGCTGTCAGTGTTTGTTCACACCTTCTTAAATAGATGGGAAAAGTGATGTAAACACAACCATGGGAAAAGGGTGACATTTCTCCAGGCATGATATTAACAATATTTTGATTAGCTCATGCCTGAATAGCCAAGCAGCTTATGGTGATAAATACCCTGTTCCAATTAGACATCTGTGTTCTCAGCCTGAAAATAAAAAAGGGAAGAAAAGAGGAAAGAGCCTGCCCAGGACCAAGCCTGCTGCCTCTGCTCCTCAGCAGGACATCAACCATCTGGGCTTCCCAGGGGGCAGCCCAAAGTCACAGAGTTGTGCAGGAGGGGCTGCAGAGCCACCTCCCCTACCAGACACGACCACTCTTAACCCCTCAGAATTAATTTTGACCATTGAACTGCTTTTACCCCGATGGTGGCTGCAGGATTGGGTCCTCTCTCTGCAAAAATCCTGAAATTAAGCAGGAAGCCTGAGTCTGAAAGGGAAACCCTGACATGCATTAGCATCCCTGAAAGTGCAAATGAGCGATCACAAAACCCTGGAATACATTTGTGAGCTCTAGATGTGGCAGAGAGGTCTGGCTGATCAAAGAGACAAAATGAAGGCGAGAAGACAAAGTCGTTCTTTATGGAAGTGGGAATGGTTATCCCCACACAGTCAGACTGTTAATTAGCAGGGCTGGATCTCAGCCCTCCGTGGCTGACAGAGAGCTCAGCTCTCACTCTCTGGCACATGTGACAGACCCACAGCTGGCCCAGGGCTGACACCCACCCCAAATGTGAGCCTGGGCTCTCTGCTCTGCCAAAGTCACCTCTGCTCCTTGCAGCCACGTGCCCAGAGGAGGGACCTCACACCAAATCCAGGCTCCCTGGAGGCAGCTGTTTTCTCCAGGCCATGGGGATGACCCAGCCTGCTCCCAGCCCCTCTCCAGGAAGGGCTTCTTGCCAAGCCCCAGGGTAACATTCTGCACAAGCATTGTTTTGACCCCAGACACTGAATATCCTCTGCCTCCTTTCACAACTATCTGGGACTTTAATCCCTGCTGTTTGTTGCCAATCACTTCGAGCAGTGATTTTTCGTCTTCACAGCTTGCATAAAGCAGAGAAGAGGGAGGTTTTGTTTTTGCCAGCCCATGGGGAGCAGTGAGGAGCGAGGCTGGCATGTGCCCCCCTCCCAGCCTCTCAGAAGTAACACTCACAGCTGGGATTCTGGCTGCTGCTGTGCCCACAGGAAGGAGCTGCTGGTGCCCACCACTGGCCCCTGCCTGGCACCCTGCCCAGCACGGGGGGAGGAGGGAAGGAGAAAGGAGATTAAAAAAAAAAAACCCATCTATTTCTGGAGAGCAAGTCAAACAATGCCTCAATCATCTCCACACAGTTCATAAATCCCTAATTAAAGGTTTAGTGCTCCACCCCGCTGCAGATGTTCCAGAGTCCATCCACATTCCAACACTTGCTCCCTGCCAGCACGTGCCCACAGCCAGCAGCATCACCCATCAGAGCCTGAGCCCTGCACTCCCCACACATCCAGTGTGAAATTTAACCTTAATTCTCAAATTAAGCTCGAGTACCTGGATCCTGGAGAAAAAAATATATAATCTATAAAAAATAGAACATATTTTAAAATGTTTAAAATATAACATATATAAATATATGTATATATAATACATGAATATATAATAGAACATATATAAAATGTATATAATATAATATATACAAATACATGTATATATAATAGAACATATATAAAATGTATATAATACAATATATATACACATTATGTATATAATGTATATATATAATATGTATAATATAACATATATAAATATATAATCTGGAGCTGGCAGATATATCTGCTTTGTGCATGCACAGCTGGAGGGATAAGGACCAGCTCAGTATTAACTCCCTCTTCCTGCATCTTTTATTCAACACCAAAACACCAGACAAGACACCTCCAGCTTCCTTCCTAAGCCCTATTCCCCCTTTCTTGGTCCAACAAACTCAGTCAGAAGCACTCGGGGTAGCACCTGAAGTTCCTATGAATGTTTCATCTCTCCTGCTCAGACACTCAAGGAAGAGCAGCTCAGCTGCAGGGTACAATCCTCAAATTGTGCTGCCCGTGGAGCCCCAGCCCTCCACGGGGCAGTGGCAGGCTCCTGGTTAACACAGCTGCCAAGCCCATGGTGTGTGTGGTGGGTTATTTAAGGCAGCTCTAACTGGGGCTCTCAGCGTGCTGCTCTCTGCAGAGCTCTCAGGAACAGTAATAAATAACCACAATGCAGCTCATGCCTCATAAAAGTTCTCAGCTCCTGAAGCAGCTTTCCAGGAAACTCATCTGCCTGGGATTTTTTGGGTGGTGTCAGCTTCCATCCTGCAGTCTCTTTGTCCCAGAGCGAAACCCCTGCATCCCTTCACCCCTGTCCTTCACCAAGTGCCCCCTTCTTCAGGTTAGTTTAGTCTTTAACTATATAAAGTATGACAGCTACATAAAATGTTTTGTTGCCTTGGCAACTGCAATCCAGTGGCTTCAGCCTGAGTTATGAGGCAGAGGACAGCCTTGACATTAACCAGCAATAATGAGAAGAGCAGAACCAGCAGGGGAGCACTGGCTGAGGAACGAGCAGGGGACCATCCCCACCTGCCCCCAGCACAGGGCACACCTGGGAGCCACAGTGCTGCCACCACCCCGTGGGACACCACAGCCCTGGGAACTCAGCAAAGGACCAGGTCTGCATTTCCAAAGTCCCTTTCTTGATATGGAAGAGGCAATTGCTTGGAAAAGCCAGTGAGGCATAGATGCAGCCCTGGCAGAATGTGCTGTTTGTGCTGCCCAGCACATTCCTTTGCACTGAGAACGGGCTGAGCCCAGGGCAGGTGTGTCATCTGCCACTCCTACCACAGTCAAAGCATAAATAACTTCCCAAGGTGTCATTCACAGCACTAGAAATTAAGATTTCTTAATCTCTGCTGATTGCAGGAGACTGCACAACAGAGCAGGTGGTGTGGGGATAACCCAGAGGACCAGGAACCCTTCTGGGGTGGGGAACTGGTGACACATCTCTATCTCCCATCCATGAGGCTGCTCTGGCTTGAGATAAACTTTATCCTTCACAATAATCCCAACAACAACCACAGCAATAACCATACAGACTGGCAAGGGAAGGCATTCAAATGCTCCCTGAACAAACAGAATAAAGCTGATGTGAACACTCCCAGGAACTTGGGAAGGTCTGACATCACCTGGGGAAGGGCTGGCTTTATCCTTTGCTGGCTTAAGCAAAATGAGCCATTAGTAGTCATTGCTAGTTCTGCTCATCCTGCTCACTTTTCAGACTACCCTCAAAGCTACCTGAAGCACTTCAGGTATATCCCTTTATATTCCTCTCCTAATCTGGGCAGTTCCAAGTGATTCAGCCTGAAATGGTTCCCAAAGCTCACATATAAGTGCATTAAGAGCAATTAGTTCATTAATCTAGTCTCTGGTATCATGTTTCTCCATCACTTCATTTAATAATTTGTAGTAATTGACAGAGCAGACTCCCCCCAGTTCTCATAGCTGGCTAATGCATAATTAGTCTAAATCACAGCAAAAACTGTTTCACTGGGAAACACCTAATCCCCTTAGGCTCGTGGTGTCTCTTTTGAGGTTCCACACATGAAAGAAGCTGCACACTCAGTTACCATCATCCACAATTCAGTGAGACTCCAGCAAGCCCACGTGGGCTCAGCCCTGCATCCCCCCCACCTGCAGGTGCCTCTGGTACCTGTGTTTGCACAGCAACCAGAGCACAGCCCCCGGTGCTCCCCTGCTGGGGGGGGCTGCAGGGCAGAGCACTGTTCCAGAACATTCCATCCCGGCTGGCAGACAGACTGACTGCAGCTGGGAGAGGCACAGGGACACTCACTTGGTCTGGTGTTTGGAGCCCTTCAGGTGTGCATGGTACTGCTCTATGGAGTTCAGGGTGACGTTGCAGATGTTGCAGGTGTAGCTGCGCTTCAGGCCTGTGAAGAAAAACAGGTGTTAATTAATTAATTAATCCTTGGCTACACCTGTGCCACATGGTGAGGCTGAGGGGAGCATGGGCTGCAAGAGAGAGAAATGTAGATGTTGCAGGTGTAGCTGCGCTTCAGGCCTGTGAAGAAAAACAGGTGTTAATTAATTAATTAACCCTTGGCTCCACCTGTGCCACGTGGTGAGGCCGAGGGGAGCAGAGGGAAACACTCCTGTGCCTGGGCTACAGACTATTCAAAATGGCAGCTAGGAAGTACAAATAAGTGAAAATGACTGAAGAAAAGGGGAGAAATAGAGAAAAAAAAAAAAAAAAAGCAGTAACCTATGCTCCAAGCAAGCTTCTAATTAATTAAAAGGTACTTGGATCCCACATTTCATTTCCAGTTTCACAGACATTTCTCTTTACAGTGACCCATCTATTTACTTTTCCAGGCCAGGGTATCCAAGCATTAGAGAAACCTAAAGGAATATTTTTAGAACTGAGCAGAGGAAAGCCAGGTTCAAAGGCTCATCCCTCCTGAGAGTGTGGTGAATCTCTCCTGTGCCCTCCTCAGGGCATCACTGCTGTGCTCACACTAACGAGCACTCCAGGCACCATTTATCCCTCTGGTTTTTGGTAGTGATCATAATTCAGAGCAATTCCCTGTGAGTACCTTCAGCAGCCAGATCACTTGGGAGCTCTCTTTCCCCCAGAGGGATCCACTCTGATTTATCCACCAAAGTGAACCAGCCAAGCACAGATGCTGGTCTCCCACAGCCCACACTCAGCCTCTGGCTCAAGGTCAAGGCTGGCAGGCTGCAGGGACACCAGGCAGCCACCCAAAGCCAAAGCAGGAGCTCTCTCACCTGCTGGGTTCTCTCTTGGCTGCAGTACAGACTGTCCCCAGCAGAACCAAGGGCTCTGCTTAAAAACACTGGAGCCATGGGATTCCTAGCAGGGATTGCTGTGCTCCTTAGGAACAGCTCTAATGTTCCTTGTAAGTCTCTTCTGGCTTTCTACGGTATTTTTTCTTTGCCAAAATTGTTAGGACAACTCATTTAGAACAAATAACGTGTGGCATTCTCAAATTTGATCAGTCCACGCTCACCATAATTAACTGCACAGGTAATAAACACGCTGACTCCTCCCCAGCTGGACCTGCCTTTTTGGCTCTCAAAAAAATCCCTTGTCTTGTTCTGCACTCCAGACACCAGCTACACCAACAGCCCCACTTTTCTCAAACACTTCATAATATCTCTCACCCAGGAATTTGGCACAGCATGAAAATCATCTTTAAATAATATTCCAAAATCATTCAGATGAGTGCTTGAAAACAACAAGCCAGCAACTGCAGAGGTATTTAAGTAGTTTCTGTATTTCTGTGTCACGACGTGGCACAGAACAAAAATCAATTTGCAAATGTGCATATGGATTTTTCTCCTTCCAGAATTTATTCTTGATGGAGCAGTGATGATTTCACAGTCACGCCCTTTGTCCATTGCTGGCAGCTCCTGTTCTCTTTATTCAACCAACAGGCACCAGAAGCCACATGGATCTAGCAGAATGCAGGGGCAGGAATGGGAAAGGCAGGAATGGGGAGGGCAGTGAGTGGCCGGTGTGGTGTGTAGGCACATTGCAGAGACTGAGAACCTGGATCTCCACATGGCAGAGTGGGACTGGGGAACTAAAAAACAGGTAATTCTTTAATTTAAGGTAATAAGGTTCTGCTGCTCAGCCAATTTAGCAGCACGTTAAAAGCAGCCTCAGTGAATCTTAATTACTGGTGTAGGTGGAAACGCCTTCACCAAAGCAGCTCCTAACTGGGGATGATGATTTTCTCCCTCAGCATGTCAAGGCTACTCACAGTGATGAACCAGGGGGAACCCTGCTCCCCCCCTCCCTGTGTTCTGTGCAGGGAATTGGTGCTGTTCCCTGATGCAGCTCTTCCCACTGGGAGCTGGGTAGATTCCATGGCTGGAGCTGGGCAGATTCCATGAACTGGGATGGAGATGGAGACAGGAAACTAGCCTCAAATGATGAGCAGCATGAGACCACAGGCAATGATCACTTCCAGGATGTAAAAATTGCCACAATTTGACCTCACTGGAGCTCATCAAAGCTGCTACTTGAAACTGGTTTCATCAAACTCCCCGGCCAGTGCTCTGGGGCTGAGCTCAGCCCTCCAGGCCATAAGGTGGTCCCACCCTGAGCAGCCCACACTGGCAGCTGCTGGGCTCTGGCTGTATTCACATCCCCTTCTGCATCCTCAAGACACATCAGCACTGCCTCCCCTGCAGCATGACATGCATTCATGTAAAATTGAATGTCCTCCTATCCCCATTAAATAAAATATTAACAAGTCAAGTTATTAATGTCATCCTGCATAAAACGAATTAAAACCCATTCCAGGGGAGTTCTTGTTAAACTGCTTCTTACTAACCACAAGTGACAGCACAGAATGAGAAGTATTTATAAGGCATACAAAGAAATTATGAGCTGAGATGAAAAAGGAAACACAGCTCGTTGCCTAATACTGGTGCATCTGCAGCACCAGCAATGTACCTGAGAACACAGAGGCTCCAAGTGACATCATCTCTGTGCCCTTGTCCATCTGTACTGTGCTGCTGGGCTTTATTTTAGGGATTCAGAGCAACCTGTTGTTGTTGCAGGGTTGGGCTGGCCCCAGCACCTTACAAACCAGCTGGGACTGCAGAGCCCACCTGCCTGGGAGAGGGAATGGGAGAGGCTGGGCCGTGGGGGACCCCAGACATGAACCACAGCCCATGAGATGTGACTTGAAACTTGACATTCCTCCTGCCTGTGCCTGGGACAGCCTGGGGAGGGTGAGAGCTGGCAGATGGAGCCCCATGGCCACTCTGAGCTGCTGAACAGGCACAAGGTGCCAGAGCAGAGCCTGGAATCTGGGGGTTGGTACCCACCAGGTTTTGTCTTCCTATGATCTGTGCCAGGGTGCAGGGGCAGCCAGGGGAGGCAGCTCTGCAGGAAGAAAACTCCCAAATTCTCCCTCTTTCAGGGTGTGCTCCCATGCTTCCCTGCCCTGCAGGAGCAGCAGGGATGCCAGGCCAGCCACACAGCAGGGTGAGTCCCAAAGCAGCTCTGTGAACTGCTGGACCCTGCACTCCATCCAGCCAAGGAAAAGGGATCCCTCTGCCCTGTTCTAGGGCTTTAACTCAACACAGACTGCAGAAACAATGCTCATTTCTCCTTTTTTGTTTTTCCTCTCCTCATTCTTATTTCTGAGAAGAAAATAAGACTTCAAAATTGCATCATGAGCACTTGGTGAGAAGAATCAATGTTTTTGTTTCCTATAAATATCAATTGTCCAAAAATATATCTCTATTCTTATTTCTCCAAATATACATTCATATTTATCAATAAATATTTTATTACAGCCATTATCAAAACATCAAAGGCTGCTGAAATGTTGTACTTCAACTGACACTGCCTGTTCCAGGCTCACACAATGCATCAAACGTTCATCTCCCACACTAGTCAAAATAGAATTAATATTTAAGCTGTGATGGGAGAAGCCACCGGGGATGCAGAGGAAGGAGATGACTTTGCAATCCAGGGAAAACTGAGGCAGCAAAGGCAGTGTGGAGCAGGGGGAGTATGGGGATGCTGTCCCCAGCACAGCCATGTCCTGCTGTCACTGTTACCCTGCAGGCAGACACGATGTTACCTGGCAAGGTGAGCCTGGCTCTCATTGTGGGGTGGCCACTGCTTTCCACACCTGTCAAGATCTGCTCTGATCTTGCAGCTAAATGCATCCAGGAGAGCATGGGCACAGATGGACAGATGCTCACGACATGGTTAGAAGAACTGAAAGATTTCCCAGCTTGGCAGGCTCAGGGACAGCTCCTTGCTTGTGCTGTGGAGCACAAGGTGCTGGGACTGAGCCCCTGGAAGAGCATCCTGAAGTGCCCAGCCAAAGGGCCACCCCTGTTCCCCTGTACCAGGCACACACAGAGCCTGGACACAGCTCTGCTGTCCCCTCTCCTGTCACCCACAGACACTGGCAGGGCCACACTGGATCCAGTGCAAACCCCAAACATTCACAGCACCACGGTGAAGGCAAAAACCAGCATCTGACAAGGCTGTGAAGGCCTCCAATTTCAACTCTGCCAGGAGCTAAATGAATAAAACACTTCCCAACTGATTTATTTACAGTTAATGACATCCTCAGCCACTCCTGAGCTTGGCACAGCTCAAAGTACTGAGCACTTCCACGTTATTGTCCCAGGTTTTATTCCCACATACTGCCAGCAGCGGGCAGTGACTCAGCCAACATGAATCATTGATGGCACCATGAGTCACACTAGGTAGCACAGGAGGATCAAGATAACCATTACAAGGTTTATAGGAAATCAAGAAATGCACAATATACTGTATAGTCATTAGTATCTAAAGAAAAATTATTTCATTTAGCAAGGAAGAAGACCCAGGTGTATCAAAATGTTATTGCAAAGCCTCACTGGCAAACCAAAGCTCTTGCACATAGCTCTGAATCAAACTTTCCTTCTTCCTCAGCTGCCTGAATCAGGTCCCTGTGTGCACACAGGATTGTGACCCAGACAAAAAGGCTTGTGCCTTTCCTGTGCCTACAGCTCAGAGTAAGCAGGTGCTTGTCAAGATTCACTCCTGGACTGAATCAAATTGCACCTCTCCATCACAAGCTCAGGAGGGCCCTGGGATGCTGGGGGTCCAGCTGCTGAGACCATTGGCCTGGCTGTGGCTCTGCTCTGCTTGAGGGTGGCTCCCAGAGGGGTGTGAGCCCAGGCACAGTCCCCACAGGGACCCTGCACATGGGGCCACCATGGATGGACTGACAGATAGATGAAGAAAGGCTGCTTTCCCTTCAGCAGGAACCAAAAAAACTTGTGTTTAACATCCCTGTGGCAACTGCTCAGCTCCTGCTGCTGCTGCTGACCCAGGGCCATCACAGCATTTTACAAACACTAATTAAATCATGGAAGGCAGTTGTCCTGCTCTCCATCAGGGAGATGTAGGGAGTGCTCTGCCTCCAGCAACATCCTGTCTGCACTTCTGCGTGGGGCTGAGCTGCAGTGTGCTCTCCTCTCCCAGGGACAGGCCACACTTGCTCGAGGACAGGTGTGTGCACTAATGGAAAGGACTATTTTAGGAGGAGGCAAAAGAGATACCTAGAAAACAACTTTGAAAGGATGCTGCTAAAACTGAAGGCTGGCATTCCAGAGCAGGGGATTTTTTTACACAACTGGGAGCCTTATGAAGCAGTAATAGCATCTAGGGCTCCCTGCACCACTGGTGACTGCAGTGAGCAATTGTGGGAATCCATAAAATCAGGGGTTTTGGGAAAGCTGCAAAAGGAAAGCCTCAGGGACAGCAGAATGTGATTAGAGCTAAGCAGTAGCAACAAGACTGGTCAGCAGAAAAATTATGTAAGAAGTAGAAAAGAAGTAAGGCCAAATAGAACAATGGTCTGTGTATTAATGCTTGTCTAGAATAACTCCCTAAGCTGCAGAAAAGTATATCTAGCAAGATATAAGGGAGTTCTAAGCTTAATAATGAAGCTCTGTGCATTGTGTTTGAAGGCTTACAAGCAGGTATTGTATTCAAAATAAGCAAGCATAGTTTTAACCAAAAGTACATGTGCTTATAGTGATTGGACAGAACTACTGTCAATATGCTTTTGCTTTGTATGATTGGCCAAACAACTTTTAAAGTAAGTTGCAACATTAAGTTCTTGCCTGTGAGCTGATGGCATCTTCCCATTGTCATAACCATGCAATGAGACTGATGCTGGAAAATACAACAGCTCAAGACATGTTCCTAACAGTCCTGTTCATGATTTGTACACAAACCCTGGCCAACAAACAAGGGTCACGGGAAGCACAGGGCGCAGGTCTCTCACCTCGCAGCTCCCCCAGGTCCAGGGTCTTCCCCAGCTGCTCCAGGAGGTCGGCCCTGGCCGCGTTCTTCTTGTGCTTTTTGCCGTCGTAGTGCTGCTGTGCCATCAGGGGGTTGTTGAACCAGGCCGTGCAGAGCTGGCAGTGCCTGTCCGAGTCCCTGCGCTGCGGCTGCGGCGGCGGCGGCACGGCCGGGGCGCTCTCCGTGTGCGCCGGCTTCAGCGCGCCCAGAGCAGCCTCTGCAAAAGGAAACGGGCACACGTCGGCTTTGCTGGGCTCCTGCTGCCTGCTTTGCTGGGCTCCTGCTGCCTGCTTTGCTGGGCTCCTGCTGCCTGAGGAGCACCAAAGCCTAAGGCAGATCCCGCAGCAGACACAGGGAATAATTAGCTGCGGTTACGTCGATGTGTTCGCGGGTCCCAGGATGAGGGAAGAGATGAATCAGACTCCGTATTTCTTAGAAGGCTGGTTTATTATATTATGATGTTATACTAAAAATGCTGTACTAAAGCTATACTAAAAAGAAGAAAGGATTTCATCAGAAGGCTAGGAAAGGAATGAATAATAAAAAGCCGTGACTGCTCAGAGCCTCGACATGGTTGGACCATGATTGGTCATCAAGTAAAAAAAATCCACATGGACCAATGAAAGATGCACCTCTTGGTAAACCATCTCCAGACCACATTCCACAGCCATCAGGTAGTTATTGTCTACATTTCTTTTCTGAGGCTTCTCAGGAGAAAATCCTAGTGAAAGGATTTTCATAAAATATCATGGTGACACAGTTACAGGGTCCCGGTGGATATTTTGGGTGGTGCTGCTAGGAAAGTTACCATTTCTCATTAAAAAAAGTATCATGAAAGGACAGCCCAGGACTGTTCCTCAGCTTTCTGCATTTCACTAACTGGGAAGGAGGATGCTCTCAGTGCAATTATATGTCTTATCACTGTTCTGACTAAATTTGCTAAACTTATCCTGCTTGAATTGCTACTCCCAGGAAAAATCGTCAGTGGAGAATAAATACACCATGCAGAGCCCTCTCCTTCTCAGGACAGAGAGACATATTTATCATTATCTCAGGATTCTTATTTTTCAATTTATTTGGTCTCAGAAAGAATGGGAAAGCCACAGTCATTGCAAACTGTCACAGATGAAAAAAAAATACTCAGTAGTCAGTCCCTTCCTTCAAAGATCTTCACATTGTGAATTGTCAGGTACCAACAACACACAACCTTAATTTAATTCTATTTTCCTTCAGATTCATCAAAAAGCCCATCCAGGAACACAAAAATGACCCCCAAATCATCCCAAAGAAAAGTGAGTAATTAGTCTTTGTATAATGGAATGCACTTTGTTCAACAGAGTTTCCCAACTTCATACAATACAAGTCACAAACCCATGGAAAAAAGAGTCTCAAGTAAAATAAAGTTCAGGTAACACTGGGATACAAAAATATAAAATGACTAGCACTTAATTATCACACTTCATTGAAAAATTCCCTTTTATGTGGCTTTCCCTTTCCTTTCTTTTCCAGATGAAATGTCTGCTCTTTAAATAATTAACAACCTGCTCTCTCCATGGTACTGGAATAGGCACATTTGGAGGTGTGTGGTGGCTGTCTTTGATCAGAAGATGATCCAGCTGAGCCCTGATGAGCACACAGGGCAGCAAATGCCAAACCCACCTCAGTGTCTGCCACCAGGAACAGCAACACAGGGATATATTTAGACATATAATTATGCCTGGAGCCCACTGTGATTGACTCCCTGGCTTGGGAAAGTTAATATTGTTATAAATCTTCTGCTGACCTGCTCAGTAAGGGACACCTTTCAAGGAAATTCTATCTTACATATAACATTACTTACAACCTTATCAATTTCCAGGGGTTTATAACCTTCTATTGTTTTTGATGATGACTGCCAAGGTATCAGAGTTCCAGCAGTGATGATGCTGCCTCTGAAGAGCTGCTCCAGGCAGGGCCAGGCAGGGTCTGGCTGGATTTTGCTCCTAAAAAAAAGTCTTTTCTATGGTTCCAGCAGGAGAGACACAGCCCAGCCCCTCCGAGGTGCATGCAGCAGAACTGCCAGGGTGAGCAAAGAGCAAAGCCAGCGGCCAGCACAGTCATTAGGAAGAAAATCAGGGAATGGCAGTATTTCCTGCTCAAACTGGGGTTACACAGACTTTGCACGTGCTTGACTCACGAAAAGCAAGCACAGCTGCCTTCTTGCAGACGTGTTCCTGCACGCCCCAAGGAGCCTCCCTGCAGGAAGGGGTCCATGCCCAGAGCCCAGTGATGCCACAGGGACTTGGAACAGCCCTGGTGAGCCCAGTAAACCAGAGTGAGCTGCAGAGAAGTTTGGAGCATTACAAACAACCAGCAATTTCAGCAGCCCAGGAGCTCTGCGACAGATCTGACTCGCTGCTCCACAAGCCCCAGGCTATAAAGTTAAATCTATCCAATCTTTTGGCCAGATCTCTCCTTGTTTCTATGCATGCTGCTGCCGGAGGGGGACCAGGCAGGCTGAAGCTGGCGGAGCTGGTGGTGTCCACAGGAGTTACCATCTCCTGCTCACTAAGGAAACCTGACAGAAGCAGCTCTGCTCTCAGCCCCTGGCTGTGCCTCTGAGCCCCTCTCCCTGAGGCTGGTGGCTTGTGCTCCCCCAAATGCCATGCAGGAGGGAGGTGCCAGGGGGACTGGCACTCCTGCTGCAGGGGATGGCACCAGAGCCCCCCATGCCCACCCCAGCCCAGCTCCCAGCCCACATCCACACCTGGCTCCCATGGGACCGTGGGCTACAGCTCCACAGCAGAGATGCCCTACCTGCATCACACGGGGCTGCCACGGGCAAGGATTTCCCTTAACACTCACAGTACAAAATATTCTCTTTAAAGCCACATTCCTCAGGCCCCACTGACAACCCCCACCAGTCCTAAGCTGTGCTGAGCCCAGCCTGGCAATTAATGAAAGCATCCCAAGCCTACCAAATTCTCCCAAAGAGAAATAGATGAAAGTTGACTTCTCCACAAATGTGAATTTATCATTTTGATATGCACTACATAACTGCTACAGAACAGCAAATGCCATCATTCCCTGAGCAGCGACATGGAAATTAATAATAAACACTCACGAAACGTCAAAAGTTAAAAATGTTTCACCATCTAAAACACAAACATAAAAGCTGCGAGTTTGACTATTTCAAGTATTTCAAAATGCTAAATAGCTCATGACAGTCTGCCTTACGTTCCCTTTCGCTGTGGGAGGGAAGTGAGAAAGTCTTACTTTGCTGCAAGAGGCAAAATACAAAGTTAGAAACACTTTAGCACTCCGGCAATGAACTAATGTTTGACTTCTTTCTCACATCCAAAGCTTTTCTTTCCAAGCTGGATTTAAATGGCACCCAACTTCTTCCATTGGCACACTCCAGAAACTCATCATGAGGACAAGAAAGTTAAGTGAGCCACAACAAGGAGGCACTGGGAAACTCAAAAGAAATCCCAGAAATCCAGGACTAAGAGTCCAGCTGCTGCTGGACAGATCCTAGCACCCAAACCAAAAAGCCACTTGCTCAGTCCCTTTTGATGTCCCAAAGCCAGGGCCATCACCACTTTCCTGGAATGATGCCTGCAGGTCCTCACACCTGGATTGATGAAGACAGCAGCTATTCCCCCACAATCCTTGGGTTTGTAGCTCGTGGTGATGATGGGATGCAAGCTGACAGGGGATGCTGGAAATGACTGGAGGAATTCATCTGCAATAGTGCTGACATGAAGCCTCTGAGGGCTACAGCCTTGTACAGCAGAGAACAGGAAAGATCACATTTCCCTGTCATGATGAGACATGGTTTTTGTGAGAAACCCGACTGTTGGGCCACTTCTTCTCCTGCAAGCACCAGCAGAGAACGGGACATCTGCGCTCCATCTGGATGGGAACTGTGAAGGAGAATGTTGGTCTCCATGAGGGTCTAAGAATAGATGTCATTTTCTTTGGGATTGATGAGACAGAAACCCCAGAATATCAAGCAGCAGAATCTCCTCCCCAGGAGCATCCAGCACGTTCAGGGCTGTGCGTGGTTGGCTCTCAGGACTCACGAGCAGTGGAGTCTCTGAAGCTCTCTCTGAGAGACTGAACACTCCCTAGTGCCAGCCACAGAGGACTGGGACAAAAATCCAGTGAAAATTGCTGGGTAGGAAGCCCAGAAAAATGCTGTGTCCAAAGGGCATATTTTTGAGAACTCCTGGAGAGCAAGGAGGTGCTTATTAATGTATTCCTGAGCTCAGCTTCATCTTCCAGATCAAGTGCCTGTAAGAGCTGATGAGTCCTTGAGTTGCTGCTTCCCAGTGATTAGGATGGCTGAAGAGCCCATCACTCCAGAGCACACAGCACAGCTCACTTAGAGCCTCGTGAGGCTGATCTAGATGAATAAAAAGTGAGACAAAAGCCACAATGCAAGGCTGCAGCTCTTAGCAAGCCCTGCCTTGGCCAGGCCCTGCGGCTGAAGGGTGAATCCAAACTGTCAACACAACACAGGAATCTGCTCCAAGATCCAGCCCTCCTGTGAACATCAGCTCACCTGGACCTCACCAGGAGTACCAGGGCTTGTGGCAGGTCCTCTGGTGCCAGGGGAGGAGCTGCTGGCAGGCTGCACTAAGGGATGGGGCTCAATCAAGCCCTGGGCACACAAACACCAAGCTGAGTCCCTGCTGCTCTCCGTGCCCTTGCAGCTGTGTGCCAGCTGCAAGAACAGCTCGAGGAGCCCGACATGGGCAAGGTGTGGATGACCACGACAGCTCAGACATGAGCCAGTTGTGGGTGACCATGACAGCTCAGACATGAGCCAGTTGTGGGTGACCATGACAGCTCAGACATGAGCCAGTTGTGGATGACCATGACAGCTCAGAGCCTTCCTCCTGGCTGACCCAGGGGTGCTTCCCCAGGCTGCCATGGCTTTACCTTCTCCTCCACAGGACACACTGCTGCCCCAGCATGGCCAGCTAAACAGAGCAAATCACCACCTAACACAATTCCCCACATTCCCTCAGGCAAAGGGGCCAACAGCTCCCAAGCCCACCCTGGCAAAGGACAAGTCATACTCTCTGTATCAGCATCTACAGTCTGTGAAGTTAAAAAGACAACAAAACCACACACACAGAGTGCCAGCCCCCGTTATCTAATCACATCTAGGAATTACGTGCTAGGAGGGTCCAGTACACACAGCTCCATTTGTATTTTGTGCTGAAGGAAGTGCCACTGGCAGCAATTCTGGGTCACATCTGTCTGCAGGACCTCAGCCCAGCAATCCTTCTTGGAGAAAGGTGAGTGCTTTGTTCAAGCATTTTCTGCTTCCATAACCACAGAGGAATTTTTTTCACAGATTATTAGTGGTTTTTAGGGACTTTATGATTAAGCAAACAATAAGATGGTTAAATTGTCCAATTTCAACATTTGACTTTTTTAATGTGAAAGTTAATAGGCTGCATTACTAGAATCACTGTGGAGGAAAGCACAAAACCCATCTGGGCAAAAATCAAGAAACAATCTATCCAAGAGTTTTTAAAGCCTGGCTTTCCCTCTGTGGTAAGAGCAGATGATGCTCTGTACTGTACAGCAACACCAAAGGTTTATTAAACATATTAGCTGAGCTGATAATTAAACTGCTGATAATTAAAGCCAGGCTTGGCTATCTGCACCCAGTGGAGACACTGTTCTCCACTGAGAAAACCCTTTGGAACTGTGGAACCAGAGATAGGGCTCTGGCACCAGGGCCAGTCCCAGCTGATAAACCCCTCATCTACATAAACAAAGCAGACAGTAATGAGCATCAGGAGTTTTTTAAAGGTTGTTATGACAGCAACATAAATGAATAGCTGCTTCTGCCAGCTGCCACCGCTCAGCTTTCCACGTTGTTCCCATTTTCTGCCCTCACACACCGAGGCAGCCCCTTGGCCAAGCCCCGGCCCCCCACACCCCTCTGCACCTACCTGTGGCCTTCAGTGCTGGTTGTTCCCCTAGCAACAGTTTTAACCTTTTGGCATGGATTTTCCCTTGGTAATGTGACTCTGCCACCACTGCTGAGGTAAAGGACATGTTACATAGCGTGCAGCATTTGTTCTTATCCACTGAGTCACCATCACTGCCCTGGGTGGAGACAAAAACACAGACAAAACAAAGAGTGTATAAGCACAGTCACACAGAGAGAAGAGAAGAACAGGAAGGAGGAATCTAGGTTGTTATCCAAGGCCATGGCTGCCAAGGGGTTTCCCTTCCTCATCTTTCCCAGCCACGTCCAGCTTGGGGACCCCTCCAGCTCCCCAGCACCTCCACTGTGCTCTGCACGGGGAGCTCAGCCTGTCCCTGTGTCCCATGGAGCTCAGCCATGGCTGCCAAGGGGTTTCCTTCCTCATCTTTCCCAGCCTTGCTCCTGCCTTGTCCCAGCCATGTCCAGCTTGGGGACACCTCCAGCTCCCCAGCACCTCCACTGTGCTCTGCACGGGGAGCTCAGCCTGTCCCTGTGTCCCATGGAGCTCCTGAGCCTCCCTTCCCTCAGCCTCTGCTCCTGCTCTCTGGCTGAGGGAGCCACACAGAGCTTTTGCTGCCATCTGACACCGGGGCTTCCTCCTGATGCACTTTTTTAAGAGACCCCAAAACATCTGGGGGGACACAACCTGCTCTGCATGTGGGAGAAATATATGAACTGCAGGATCCAACACCAGCCCTGGGTGAAGCCAACACAGAGTGGACACCTGACCCACCACTGAAGGTCACTTTTTCCTCCCTCCAAAAAAACAGCACACAACTGGGGGGCACAACCCGCTCTGCATGTGGGAGAAATATATGAACTGCAGGATCCAACACCAGCCCTGGGTGAAGCCAACACAGAGTGGACACCTGACCCACCACTGAAGGTCATTTTTTCCTCCCCCCAAAAAAACCACTTTTAGAAAAATGACTGATTTTCATCACTTTTTTGTTGTTGATAACTGTAAATCAAACCTTAGGGAGGAATCTCAAGAGGTGATTAGTACTGTTCTGAATGTAATTTGCACTTCTTTTAAATAGCTTTCTCTCAAGATATTTTATGCCTTCAAAGGGAAATCACTTGAAAGTTAAGAGCAGAGTAGAGAATTTCCAGTATCTATTGATCATCAGTGGCAACATATAAAGAGCCTCCAACAGAGCTTGTTTGAAAAGCTGATACACTTCGGTGTTAATGCACCAGGGTCTCTTCCTCTGCCAGGGCTGCTCTTCAGTGACATTTTTCTCCTTTTCAACCTACTTTCTCAGCTAGACTGCAATTAAAAATAAAAGATTAAAGCCCCCCTCAAAGAGCCCTCCAATACCTCATGCAGAGCTCAGGGTCCCATTTACGCTGACCCACAGGTGGCTGTGCAGCTCAGCTGGGTTCACTCTGGGTGAGCACCTTGATGTGTGGGTAGGACTTCAGCCACCAGCAGGACAGGGGTGTCCCCAAACCCTGGGTGCACATGCATGACAGCCCTCTGCTCCCTAACAGCCAGTTTTACACACCAAGTGCCACCCACCAGGCATTTGGGCTCTGCTGTTTTTAAGCATTTACCCAGGTCTGGATCATCCCTTAGCATCATCCCCAACCAAACCCCTGCACAGAGCCAGAGGTGCTCCATGCTGATCCAGCCCTGAAGGGTAATTATGCCTTCTCATTTGTCAGGGGCTGTTTTACCTGAAACCCAAGAGGTCAGGGGGGAAGCTGATCCGGGTGTGTTTTGTCACCTGCTGAAAGACACGCTGACAGGGCTGTGCAACACAGGGCTGCTCACCTAGGATGCCTCAGCTGAGCCACAGGGCAGCTCCCCGGGGGTGCTCTGCACCCACCCACTCTCGGGTTTCTGTGGTTGAGATGACCCTGAGGTATTAGAAAGTCTCTTTTTTTCCCAGCCCCGCGACCAAAAAAGAAGTCGAGATTCGCCAGTTCTGCTTTTTAAGGTTGTTTATTTTTTCTTATCTGTTACATTCTTGCTCTGACTGCTGGGATCCGGTTGTGGCACAGTGCCTGCCCTTGGGATGGTGGTAACTTTTTACACTAAAAACTATCTGTACTTTATTTACAATAATTTTCTAATACCTGCCATGTAACAGAGGAAAAAAAAGGCTAATATTCCCTTTTTAGCTGCAGCTATTTTACACAAATTTAATTGGTTTCCACTGATTGTTTCTAATACTCATTAAAGTCGCTGTGCCATGGCCTGAGTGACACTGCTAGGATTGGGCACTGCACTGCATGTGCACATGGCAGGGATGTCACAGTGCAGCATCAGAGACATCCTAAATAGTTCTGTTCTCTCTAAATGCAAAGGCTTGTATAATGTCTGATCAGCAACAGGCCTACTCTGAGCTGTAAATGTTGGCAGATTTTCCCTGCTATATTTCTTACAACACAAATAATTTTAGCATTTAGGTCTGGCCTAGCCTAGCATTCACCTAGAACATGAGGACGTGTTAATCCACCCCCACTAGGGCTGCCCTTGGCAAAAGCATCAGCAAACACAGAACTACATTCCTTCTCCACGTTGCCTTTCACAAAAGCAATGGGAAATAGTTCAACTTTGACTTATTTGAGGTCTGATTGGTTCTCTGTCCTCCACATCCCATGCTGAGGTGCCCATGCAGTATGTGGCTCCTTGTTAGACGTAATCAAACCCCTCAGAGGACCCTGTTCCCCATCTTTATGCACCTGTCCACTGCACTGCCCACACTGCCATTAATAACTCAATAAAAACACTGCAAGGTCCTGCTGTGGAGGGGCAGATTGCATCTGCAACTGGCCTGTGTGCAACAGAAAAGTTCACTAGTGTTTCAATTACTACGTAAATGAGCTTTCAGATTCCTTGGGCAAAACCTGTGTGCCTCTCCCTTTAATTACAAGCTATCACAGTGAATATCAACAGCACTCAGCTCCAGTCACACTGAACTGGTTTGGATGCTGCACGCTGGGAACCTCGCTGCAGCTCTCACATACCCCAGTGTGTGGGAAGGAGCCAAATTAATAATTCCCCATGAAGCCATCTCTTAAAAATTCAGCCTTCTTCTATCTATTGCCTGACAAATGGCTGTGAGCTGGTCCAGTTCCTTTCCTTCCTTTGTTTATTAGAACACAGCTGATGAAGCCAATGGCCAATCTTTAAACTGGGAGCAAACATGGAGCCTTTGGATGAAGCACATCAACTCCCAGAACAAGGAGTCCCCAGAGCCCTGGGGAGGTGACAGTGCTCTTTCTCCCCCCAGGGGTTTTCAGCTGTGACACTGCAGTGGCACCACTGGCATCCCCTGATGTCCTGCATGGCACTGCATGGCAGGTGTACCCACAGCTGTACCTACAGCAGCTCTGTACTTGGCACCAGGGGTACCCACACAGCTCCACAGCCACCACTGCCACCCCACACTGCTCCCAGGCACCACCCAGGTGTGAGTCCTCCTGTCTGCCCAGGGACCCTCACCCTTGACAGTGGTGTCACCTGCTGGAAGTTGGGTGAAGGGGTCTGGAAGTGCCCCCAGTGCTGCTCCACTGCCAGCAGCACCCCAGAGTGGCTGTCACCCCACGCCTGGAGGCATGAGCCTCCCACAGGCATTGCCCCATCACCTGCCCCAGCTGCTCACTAGCAGACCCACCACTCACTGAAATGGAGCAAGCCCTGAGTACTTGCTAGCAGCATATTTTTTTCCTATGAAAGAACATTTAAATAACTAAAAACGCAATTACTGTTGCTGATGCGCATCGTAATTCTTGTGCAGTTTATCGGAAATTATTTCCAGTAGCTTTGCATTTCAGCTAATCTAAATGTTACCTCTGGGCACCTGATCATCTGTGTAAGGGAGAGAATGGTGTAGCCCAGAGTCAGTGATGCACAAAGCAGCTGAATAAACAAGAGACTGGGATTGTACCCACGTTTTCTGAGCGGAGCTTTTTGGCCGGGCAGCCTCCATCGACGGGGTGCAGCATGTAGTAGAGACGGACTTTGCTGGCATGCTTCCGACTCTGGAATGCAAAAAGAAAAGAAACTGAAGTTACAAGGAGGGAGAGGCTCTGTTGCTGGGCTCACTACACCAAGGCACAGCCAGATTTCACAGCCCCCTGGCACACATATCCACCACTGGAGGAGAAAAGGCAGAGGGATCCAGGTGAGGAGCATTTGCACTTCTCAGGATTTTCACAGAGCTCTGCACCCAGCTGAAATGAGCTGTGGGATGTAACCTGCCATTAGCAGAAGAAATGGCCCACCCTGGCCCCTCTCCAAGTCCTGCTGCCTTCAGGCCCTCCAGGACACAGAGGGACCAGACAGCCAGGGAAGGACAGCATTTGTACCAGACCATTTCCATGGGGGGGCAGATTGAAAGATGGGATACTGAGCTTCAGCCAGAGACACAACAGCATCCTGCAGTGTCAGAGGCACACACACAGACCAAATCCACAGCTCCTACGCTTCTAGAATGATAAAACATTAGAGGGGCAAAAAATCTCCCATGAGGGAGACACGAGCAGGTTTCACACTGACTTTGGGCACAGCTGGAGCTCACGGGCAGGTGAGGGTCAGAAGAGACAGGAGATCCCCTGGTGACCCCAGCAGCAGCAGCCAAAGCAAATCCTTGGCACTGGCAAGACTTACAGGAAGATTTTAAAGCTTCTACAGCAGCAGCACAGACATAAACCTCCAAAACCCTGACTTACATCAGGTCTTGTCTGCTACCAGATGCAGGGGGGAAAAGCCTGCAGCCACAAAATAACTGCACCCAGCATATGGGCAGCAGACACACGGGGAGCTGTTACCATGCAAATGTTTCCTTTGAATCACCCTTTCCAACTGCCCCAGAGAACAACAGCATCGTAATGTTATAATTTCACATCACAGAGCTGCAATTTAAAAATATTAAATTACCATTAGCATGTTCTGGAACATTCTTTTTCCTGTGGTATAAACTTGGAGCTAAATTTGCAGGGAGCTATATTTGTATTCGCACGCAGAAATGTGACTGTGCAATAATTTTTTCCACGGAGCAAATCAGTCAAGACAAATAATGTCAAATATCTGTCCCCAGCTTGTCTTCCTGCTGCATTTAGCAAATGTGACCTTCCATGGTCAGAGAGAAGCGCAGGAAACCCCAAAGCTCCAGCTACCAGACGGCGACTGCGTAATTAGAAAATGACAAAATAGATGTTTGAAATGCACAGGACAGAGGTGCAACGCCACTCCTGGTGCTTGGCTGCACTCCCAGCTTCCTGCCTGAAGCGATGCTTGCCTTGCACCACACAGGGCCAGGCAAACACGCTGTAAAGGCAACGTGGCCAGAGTTTTTCAGTTTAATTTCTTGCCTGAGCACTGACGCCCCGCAGAGCAGTCAGCCTCCCTCGAGTCATCCTCCCCGGAGTCACGAGGCTCTTCCCTCGGTTGGCTTCATCCAGCACGTCACGATGCCCACACACACACAGCCCCAGCCTGCTCTTTTTTAGAGGGCAAAACATTTGGGAGGGGTTGCTGGGTGTGTGTAAGCTGCAAAGATGTTAAGAGGAATCATTTTTACGGTTCTGCTCCGTGGCACTCAGCTGGACCATAAATGGTGCCCAGATGTCAGCCCTGAAAGACAGCAAAGCTTCAGCCTTCTGTAAATCACCTCTCACCTTTCTTTGGATTTGTGAAAGCCAAGGCAAAGAAATGACTTATGTTTGGCATAATTTAAAACCACACAGCTCCTTATGCAACCTTATTATCTTATGATCATAAAAGTGGAGCTTAAAATCATCCCTGGCCTCCGCGTGTATGTGGTGAGCATCTCCTTCCCTCTCCTTCCCTGCAGAGCAGAGGAAGCACAGCCCATTTGTCATCCATTTTATCTCTGGCATTTTCTACATTTACATGTGTATTTATCATCCCAACACGCCAGCAGGAGCACGGCAGGAGCACAGTGATTATTCTTAGCGTGCTGCTGGCAAACAGCACTGCGGGTTATCCTCTCCCTGCTGAAAACCTGCAGCTTTCAAGGCACCAGGAGGGCAAGTGCCACACACACGGGGGGGCCAAAGGAAGAACCACAAACAGGAGCCAGAAAACCGGGATGAACTGGGATTAGGGCACCTCCAGCTCCCATTCTGACCCATCTCACCGCATCCACAAGCTGCAGGAAAGACAAAACCTTGCCACATTTGTAAATCCACAGTGCGGAATGAGCAGGCTGCCTTGTGCTCCAACAGCCACCACAACCTCATTTTGGGTGCAATAAGGGTGTTTCTGTGCCCGTGAATATTTCTTTTGTAGCTGTACAAAGTGCTACACCAAAGGCATTCTCACTTTCCTGTCTCTAGTGGGGACAGCAGCTTTTAAAGGCACTAAGTCTGGTTTAATACTGCAGGCTGGAAAACCAGCCCTGACTATGCAGGGAGCTCAGAGTCTGTTTTCACACAGCTGCTGCAGAGTTCTGCATCGCAAGCTCATTTGCTACTGTAAGGCTCATCAATAAAAGTAAATAAATGGATCATTTCTGTCTCTGTCAAATCTACTCTGGTACAGAAGATCGTGGCAGAGACAGCAAAGTTCTGGCAATTCAACCCTAAAACATAAAAGGGCAAATCAGAGCTAAATTGTGCTATGAAATGCAATTTGATTTTGCATAAATTGTGTTTTGCAGCACGCTGTGCCTGGAGCAGGCAGCGAGGTCCCTGCAGGGTCGGTTTGGGACGCTCAGCCCTGATCCCTGTTTGATGGAGGAGCTTCTCATCCCTCCTCTGTGATGGACCAGCAGCTCTGGGGAGGACTGACCCATCTTCCTTCACAGCCAGAAGCTGCCAGCTGAGGCATTACAGCCCGGGGGTCGCCAGGCTGCACAGACACACACAGCTCTTCCTTCTGTGTTTGCCCAGGGTCCCTTCTAAGAACATGGAGTCAGATTCATCCATTTCCTTCCTTTGACGGGGATCCCAGAAACTACCACAGGAGCTCCCCCACCAGCTGAGGATCTCAGACCCCACCATGGCCCCAGAACTGCTCCCACTTTACACCATGATTCAAGCTGATCCAGCAGTCTGAAACACTTTGCTTGTGAGGGCCCTCTTTCTGTCTCCTGTCATCAGGCTCAAATCAACTATCTCTGCAGCTTCCCTCAGGCTGTGCTAGCACATAATCTCATTTCCCTATTCCCCATATATCCCTTCATCAATCCTCGTGCTGCCAGCTTTATGGTTTTGGGCAGTTTAGCTTTCCTCTCCTGCTCCTCCTTGTCTGTGACCCCTTCTCCAGCCAAAGGCCAGGGACCCCCCTCATTGAGGAGCACCAAGCACAGACACAGGTGTGAGATGAAGGAAGGAACCGTGGCAGCCCAAATGGCTGCAGCTTCTCTTAGTCTGTATTAAATTCTTTTTCAGAGGGCCCATTGGTTGGGTTTTAATCCTTTTAGTGTACACTGTGTTGATTTTTTTGTGTGCTGGCAGTTTCTTAATTAAATTGCCACGCAACACGCGGTCACATGATTACACCAATTTTATTATCTGTATTGGCACTACTCGTAATCTCATCAAAAGAGACAAAGTTATTTTGGCTGGCCCAGTTGTCCAAACCTTGTGCAGAAGCCCAGTTCCATGGTTCTGCAGCCCCTTTCCCCAGATGCTGTGCCCAGGAGCTGTGCCAAGGCAGACAGCTCCGGCTGCCCGCACGGAACCCCTGGCCCTGCCATGCCTGGCCCTGTGCTCGCTTCCTCCTGGAAATTTCCTCCCCTTTCCCACGCCACAGGGTCAGCAGTAACAGTGCACACAGCACGTGGCCAGCACACTTCAAGCACCCACTTGTGAATTCCTGGACCTGCTGACCTAAACTACATCATCCTGGAATTTGTAATCGCTGCCTAACAACCTTCCAAATTTTTACTGGAATGGAACCAATCTATTTCTTCCTCTATGATATAACAACATCCTCTGCATTTTTTAAATAGACAGGAGAAGTATTTTCAGCAAATGCCTTCCCTTTTCTGCCTCTACTACCCACACAACAAACATTGTCAAGATCCCTGTGGTTCGCTGCAGAGCTGAACTCCCCGGCTGTTATTCCAGACACTGCTGGATGCCAATGTCCTTTTTTCTCCCTTTGTAATTTTTGAAAAGCCTCATTTATAATTTATGGTCATTTCTACCAACTTCCCCTTTTTCCTCCATGAGTTAATTTTTTTAAAAGTGTCTACTCATGCTTTTGTCTTCCTGGGCACACAGAAATGTGTCTGCAATTCCCAAGTGCTCAGCTGAATTTGCACCCCCATCAAACTGGCTGCTCCAAAGCAAAGAGAGGCACATTACTCGTGCGGACATTGATTTGTTTACACATTAAGGCAACTACTGAGGATCTATTCAGCCAAACAATCACTAGCTCCACTTCCTTATATCTGCTTATTCCTTCTACCATTCCACCTGGATGGCCAGGCTGACTCCAAGTGGGGAGATCCTGAGCATGAATTTTCTGTCTCAGGAATCACCATTTCTGCTGTGATCTTTAACTTTACTGCTTCCTATTTTGGTTTTGACTGTAGTCAAAGTATCTCTTGTCCAACACACTGCTGGGTACCCTGTGGAGAGGAAATAACTCTCCTTAGAGGCTGCTGCCAGAGCAGCATGGCAGGAGCAGCCGGGCTCAGCACCTGGCTCTCACGGTGCTGCCACCCAACACCTGTCCCCCACACCTGGGGCACCACAGGCACCTGCTCCTCCCTAAACCCACCGGCAGTCCCTTCTTACATCATCCTCTCACATTTCTTCTGCAGGTGGATCTTACCTTATACCTACACTAATGCAACCATGCATTTAATCTGTTGGTATTATGGGATTTTTACACCTGATTGAGCTGAAGGTCTTGGTAGAGGTTGGACTAGACCTTTAAAGGTCCCTTCCAACCCAACTCCTTCTAGGATTCTGTAAACATGCCAAGGGAAAGGGGATGCAGGGACAGAGTGAGCAGGCTGGGAACTTCTGAAGAAGCTAAATTCTTGCTGCTCACCTGCAGCTCA